ATCAGAAGAGACTGAAATTGGAATCTGTTTATCAAATTCACTGTAGAATAGATGATCTGAGGCAATACCAAGCAGTCAGCATCTGTTTTCTGTGCTAGGAGACTGCAGTGGTAATTACACACAGGGCAAGTGGCTTAAAAAATTGATTAGTTTTGAAAATTAGGTGTGGAAGATAGAAAGGAACCTGAGGATTTTTATAATATTTTTGTGATATAATATGCTGTAGCCAAAAGAGTTACTTTATAATGAGTATTTTTAGCTTCAGTCTCACATTCTCTTCAGAAATTAGGTATTGTAATCCTTTTCTTTAATAGACTCTGATGACTCCTCTTCCAGAGTAAAACACCCCTCCCAACTCCTTTATTGAGGCATTGGGTCCTAGTAGGATAATAGCACCCTGATTGATGAACAAAATTCTTATAGATTAAGGAAAAGAATTGCTGACAACTTAGGCAGATTTTTATATACCTATTTGTTTTCCTTCCTAATTCCTCTTAAAATGAAAATGCCAAGCTTTTCTTTCAATATATGTGACATTTGTGAATGAAGATAACAATGCAGTTAATGGGAAGAGCATGACCCCTGGATTAAGATGTCCAGTAGTTCCAGTCTCAGCTTTAGCACCTAGCAGTTATATGAACTTTATTCTCTGCACCTCAGTCTCCTCATAATAACTACTTTGCTGAGTTGCTGTGAATATTAGTGTAAACAATGTACATTCAAATATAGCCATTATTATTATTACCATCAATTATTCTTACCTATAGAAATATGTAAGTTCCTTGGAAGTATACATTTTTGAAGAGTGATCAGGGATAGGGTATTATGCTTTTATTTTTTCAGTTTCTCTTCATTTATTAAGTGGGTTGTGGGTATGTGATTATGTGTGTGTGTGTTTCACATATTATGCGCTAGGCACTATTTCAGGCACTTAGAACTTACATTATTGTTGTGGGTACATTTCAAAACTGGTAAATGCTGCAAAAAATAAAAACAAGCTAAAAGGGATAGGAGGTTGCGAGTGAGTTGCAATTACTAATAGGGACATCAGGATAAGCCTTATTGTGAATATGACACTGGTTTTGTGTTCTTAGAGGTTTTCATGAACTATCTTTTGGAATTGGACGATGGGAAGAAAGGAGATGAGAGTAAAGAATAAGAGCTTGCTGATTTGTAGGCAGACATGAATATGTCCTTTGGTGTAACGTGTTCGAACACAAACTAATATAGCAGAGTAAAATATTCTAGGTGGACTAGTTTTATTTTATTCAATTTGAGTAAAAATCTTCCTAAAATTTTTTGTCCACACCCTGCCTTCCCAAACAATGGCTACTGAATACAGTGGCCCACCTTGTCTGTAACTGCTGGAGGAAGTCATCACCATGACTCACATCTGTTAGTGGACTTTCATGAAGCAAGTCCCTCAGGGCCAGAAGAGATGCTGTCATCTATTTGTCCTATGCAATGGCCTGAGCCTGCAGTCATGTGAGTTCTACCCACATGTGGCCATATAAGTGACATATAAATTAATGAAATTAAATGACATTAAACATTCAGATTCTTAGTCACTCCAGTCACATTTCAAGTGCTCAATAACCACATGTGGCTAATGGCTACTGTGTGAGCACTGATAGCAAACATTTCTGTCACTGTAGAAAGTTCTCTTAGTGTTAGTTATTTTATATGTTTCTGACTCCAAAATTGTTTTTTGTGGTACTGTTGTCATTTTTTAGACTTTAATTCCTCCTTTTGATTTGTTGTTTCTCATAGTTAAATGGTTTAAATGCCAGATGTAGAATTTTGTGTAAAGTAAGAGTAACCAGGCTCTAAGAGATCAGAAGAGCTTTCTTATATTCAAGTTTTTGTACTTGGAATTTCTATTTCTACTCTGAGTGCCCCAAGGCCTCTTTTGCTTGGTTATTCTGCAGTTGTACTGTGGGTTTAAGGGAATCAGACTGCTGAGTTCCTATGGGAGAAGGACTATCAAACTTTAAAGGTAAAATTGAACATTCATGGAAATGCTTTAGACCCAGTCAGTAGTCACTTATTTGGAGCAGCACCATTCAAGGGGTGCTTAGTGACCAACTGGCTACATGTACACCAAATTGTGTCTCCAGGGTTAGTCCTGGGCACCCTGAAAGTCCAGAAGAGGGTGGTACTTGATCCAGGCTTTCCCGATGTTACAGGAGACAAGAGGCCAGGGAATGCTCCCTAAAGAAGTGATCCTTGAATGGAATCTTGAGGGATAAATAGGTACTGGTCACATGATTAAGGTGGGAAAAGGGGGTCAACAAAATATGATGTATTACAGCATTAACGCAGACACTGAAGAGTGAAATGGCATGGCATGAGAGCAGGAACTTTCAGGTTTCGTATTGATGAAGTCTAAAATAGAAGAGAATAGGCCAGGCAAGGTGGCTCATGCCTATAATCCCAGCACTTTGGGAGGCCGACGCAGGTGGATCACCTGAAGTCAGGAGTTCAAGACCAGCCTAGCCAACATGGTGAAACCCTATCTCTACTAAAAATACAAAAAAAAAAGGTGGGCATAGTGGCAGGTGCTTTGGATGTTGAAATGTTGGGTTTTTGACAGAGATAGAAGAGGGGAAGAGGAATTGGGGATGGTGCCTTGGGCAGATCTGACTGTACAGTAGGTTGACTTGTGCATTCTGGCAACTCTGTGAAGGTGAAAAGGAGCTGTGCTGGAGGCTGGGACACTGGTGGTATGGGAGGGCCAGGGAGTAGAAACCTGTAATGGTTCAAAAGAGAGCTAATGAGGGCCTGCTGTAAGAGTGTAAGGGGGTTGAACAGAGTTCCTGATTTCAATCAATACTGATTTCTAAGAAGTGAAATTATCAGTTTTGGGGAATTGATTAGATATGGGGGATAAAGGGGACAGAGGAATCAGAGATGACTGTAAATTTTCAGGAAAACAGATTAATTTAAACTCATCTTCCAAGTTCACAGAGGTAGGTTTTGACTTGTAGCTGCTACTAGTGATTTGCATTAGCAACTGTGGTATTTAGGTTTTGGCACTTTAGGACTCCACTGTTTTGTTTGTTAAAAAAAAAAAAATACTTGAATGGGAACATAGACCATAGTGAAGTACCACCCTCATATGACTTTAATTTCGCAGTGGCCTATGAAAATTTAGAGAAATTTGGTTCATTTCTAGTGGCTCCACTCCAGATGCCAAAATTACCCCATTGTTGCGACATCCCTTGAGTGGACCATTGAACCTGTTATTCATTAGGAGCAGCTGAAAACCATCAGCCAAGTTCCCATACTATGCCAACAATAACACCAGTCAAATTTCAAGGTAACTCCAGGTTTCAGAAATGCATGAATCTCAAAATCTGTCTAGCCAAACTCTTATTTGTATTTTTATGTATACATATTATATTTAAAAAGCTAGTGGTTTCCTTACTTTCCATAATTATACATTGCCTCTTTTAGATTATAAATTGAGCTCTCAGTGTTGGTGAAGACCTACCAATAGATCTGTAGCCAATTGCTTTAAAGTGAAAATACAAATTCAGTCTGGATGGTGATACCAGGGGAGTAGCCTGCCCGAAGGGCCCATTATGATGAGGCTTATATTGAAAGCAAAAATTCTCGCATACCTGTAGTGCATCTTAAAAGGATTTTGCAAGTAACAGTTAACATTTGTTAAGCTTTCAGAAAAGCATAGTTCTCTAGTTTTTCATATTAAGGAAATATGCAAATATATGTTGATACTTTGTTATTTTACTGACATACTTTATGACTGCATGGCTAAAGCCACAAAACATTAGATGCCTACCACTTCTTTTCTTTTTTTTTTTTTT